TCGAAATTCGGGCAACGGTCACCAAAATTCAGGCAACGGTCACAAAAAATTCGGGTAATTCGGGCAGCTTCGGGTATTTGCCGGAAAATTCAAAAAAAATCCAGCGAACGGCGAGGGAAGGCTTCTCCACGGCGGCGGGCTGTCAGGAGGCTTACCATTTTTGGGCTACCCGAGCCCGTGCCCGAAGAAAAACATTTTCGGGCGGCGAGAGGGGCCTGCCTGCCGTGCCCGAAAATTTTTGGGCATCGGGCATGCCCGCCGCCCGAAAGTCCAACACTGAAATTTAGAATCATCAAAAAAGGAAAAAAAATATCATTTTTAATTGACCCTTAATTAAAAATATTTTTAAAGTTAAAGTGATTAATTGTTAGGAAAAAATAATGGGGATTAAATTGGCCAATTAAAAAAGCTGAGATGTGCATTGAATTTATTTTCTCCTGGTGATAATGATTTTCTTCGTCCTAAATTTTCTTTTCTGACAATTTATATTTTACTTTTAAAATATGCATTGAAATTATCTTTTCATGTATCACTTTTTGCGATGAAGTAGACGTTGTGACTATTCCACATGTTAGTCCGTTTGGTTCATAGATTAGAATTATGAGATTAGAATAATTTTTGATTTACGTGTATTTTTTCACAAAAAAATAATACTGTAGTGAACTATGAACCATAATTCGAATTAGATAACGAATTCTCCAACTAAATGGGCTTGTAACTTGTGAGTAACCAAAAACCAAGCAAAGTTTTTGCTCTGAAAAACCAAGCTAATTCCACTAATCTATATTGTATGTGGCCAACAAAAGGCTTGGAAAGGCGTGGAATTAATGGATAAGCACTCAAAAAACATGTGAAGCTTCTGGCTCTGTGTCACTAAAGATCTCACTCTCTTACTTCCTCCCAATCTCCTTGTTTATATGCAGAAGGGTGACAATTCGTATAACGTGTTGTATTCGTGTTGTGTTTTGATTGTTTTTTAAAAAAAAAAATTTACAGTCAACTCAAACACGACCCGTGACACGAAATTTTTTAAAAACCGCAATACGAACACGACACGACCACTTTACGGGTTGACACGAAACGATACAAAAATTACACGTGACACGAAATTGACCCGTGAATTTAAAATTGACATGAAAATTATATACTTTTATTTAGTTTTTTTACATATTAAAAATAACTTAAAATTCATAACACATTAAAATATAATAACACCCATTGAAATTAAGCAAATAATAGTATAAGATTTTGAGTATAATTATCATGATATCACAAGTTTATAATAAAATAAAAAATATGTAATAAAAAATATATGTATTTTTTAATTTTTTACGAATTTCGTGTCGCGTTCGAGTTAGGTGGATCCAACCTAAAATTGGCCCGTGTTTTTAGTGTTAATTTCAGGTCGACTCAATTCTGACCCGAATATCTTTTTTCTCAACTCTAACCCGCGAAATTCGTGTCGTTTTCAAATCGTGTTATCATGTCGTGACCCATATTACCAACTCTAATATGTAGCTTTGTTGAATATTAGTATTCTTTTGCTTGGTAAGTCTTTTCTTTGGAGTTCGGCATCCAACTATAGTAGGGATGGTTCCTTCCTTACTTCCTTTGTGAATTGGGGCATGAAGCACCATAATCAAATTATCTAGTCATATGATGCGGCGTTAGATGTGTAATAACAATGAAAATTAGTCAAAATTGAGTCAAGTCCTTTTTGTTTTATTAATGGATTTCGAATTTTTTTAAATGATAAAATGGACGGGAGACGAAATAACACCAATACTCTCCTTTTGATTCGACAAAAAAGTAGAAACAATTATACTTTAAAAGCCTTGAATCTAACACTAATTTTGAAAAAAAAAAAAAAAAAAAAAAGAAAAAAAAAAAAGAGAATCTAGTGATAAGTTTGCAGCTTATACCGTTCTGCTGCTTCATCAGACACACTACTGCTTTAGTGCTTAAGTTATGTTGGGTGATGTCATTTCTTGACCAAATTTAGAGTAACGACGTTTTGATCTTATCCGCTCCCATGTCCTTACTCCATGCCATATTAATGATGGTAATGCCAAAAATTTTTAATTTTTTTTTTTTGAAGGGTGGTAATGCCAAAATTTGATAGACCAAGTTTCATATTTATTTATAGAAAGTATAATAAGATTAAGAAGTATAAAAAGAGAATTCGTTTTTCAATCAGGTGACATCAATTTGGTTCTTTAATTAACTTTTAACGCAAGCTTTTAAGGATTGTTGTCAAATGGTTAAAAAGAAAAAAGAAAAAAAAAACAAATAGGACAGAGATTTCAATTTTTGGAGATTTTTTTTTTCTTTTCCCCTTATTTCTAGTGTTGATGAACATGTCATGCTTACATTTGTTCTTTTTTGCTACTGTTTACATAAAGTTATTGTTTGGTGAATGAAGGGATTTATGGATGAAACTTATTAGTCACAAATTGATTATGGTGTCAAATTTTGGTCCTCCCAATATAGAAAAATTCACGTGTGAAGCAAGAAAAGATAATTTTTGTTTTATTTCCTTCATTTCATACCAAATGCCATAATATAAAGGACTTCTCATTCCCTCTTAATTTCTCTTACCTACTAAGTTATCTCTCTCTCCTTCCTATTTTCTCTCCTTCCAACAAGGCCTTAATTTTTTTCACGACCTTATATAGGAGAAGAAACAAAATACATTGTAAAGGGTAAATCTGCTGTATTTGTATCCTATGTAACGCTATTAAATTAAGTGAAAGAAAACTGCTGGAAAATGAGAGACGGAGGATGTAAGTAATGTTTACTTGAGATTATTTTTACATTTCGTTTCATTTCAATTTATGTTTTCTGTACAGAAAAAAATTCTACATGGACATTGTGGGCGGGAAAAGTCTATCCAAGAAAGTATACACGCCCCCGCCTAATAGAAGAGCACCACTGCAAAAATTAAAAAATGAATTAAAAAATGAATAAGCAGACTGAAAAATGAGTAATTTAATCACTACTAGAGACTGGCTAGAGAACGGATCATTGTCTAGGTGTCGTTCGTTTCATGCATTCAAACTCATGATTTTAATAAATTTGATCAAAAGTAAGAATTAAAAATTACTGGTTTGAACGCCAAACATGCCCCAAAAAGTCAATATGCAATGAAAGTTGAGCTGCCACCACAAGTGTACATGCAAACGGGAAGTAAACTTCATCGAATGATTAGAAAAGAACGGAGTCGAGCATCGGTACAAATTGGTAATTTCTCATCGCACCATGCAAGCAATTTTTTAGTTGGATAATGGTCAAATCAATCTGGACCATTAAAACTTGTGCATCTCAAATATCAACGGTTCAAATTGATTTGACAATCATCCAATGCTTGAACTTACCGGCATGGTACAAAAAATAAAAAATAAAAAAATAAAATAAAAAGACTGGTTGCACCAAACTTCTGCCAGAAAGAAAGATGAATAAATTACCTTACTGGGTTGATCCATGCTGAGAACTTGCGAAACGAGAGCAGGCTCTGCATATTTAGGGTCATATTTTGCTTAGGTGACAGTTCGATAAACAATGATGCATTAATTTGCTAAGTTATCCAAATTATGGAAAGAAAAACATCAGTTTATTGCAACTAGATTTCGACATTTGCCAGCATAAGTGACATTCCAATCATGGTCAACTCAAGTTCTGTGCGTCATTTGATAAGGGCCCTACTGCCAACACTAGCAGTCGAACACGATGTCTAAGACAGAAGTGTTGGAGATCTATAGCTTGCCCTTTGTTTTTCCAATAAAATATAGTTGGGCGAATTCTATGACAGGAAATGAAAAAAACCCTATTGGTTTATCAGAATCATATCAAACTAAAAAAAAAATAATAATTGTAGAAAGTAGCCGACCCTTGCATTTAGTTAGGAAGTTATTTATTTTTTTAGAATAGATTTTAGTTTCTGTTTTCCTTATTTAAATTTTGTAGTTTCCGGTTTTTTCCTGATTTGGTGGAATTCCTGTTTTTCAGGGATTCTATTTCCCTTTCTCGGTGGACTGGTTTGTCAGCCACCCTAGCCTATATATTAGGTTGTATATCGTTGTTTATGAATAAGAATAAACGGAATTATTCCATTAATTTCTTCATGGTATCAGAGCCCTTGGTTTCTGAACCCTGATCTCTCCAAACATCTTTTTCCTTTGCCGTACTCTCACCATGACAAAATACGGCATGGCATCACAATCCTCTTCCTCGGAAATCACTTCTAGATCCGAGCCTAATTCCTCAGCCCCTATCATTCCCGATTCCTCCTCTCATCTTGTCACAAATCATAAACTTCATGGCCATAATTTTCTTCAATGGTCACAGTCCGTTTTTATGTACATCTACGGCAGAGAGAAGGATGGACATCTCACAAGCGAAATCTCTGCTCCAAAAACAGCAGATCCGAAATACAGGGCCTGAAAAACTGATGATCACCTCGTTATGTCATGGCTAATAAATTCCATGACCACGAAGGTTGGAGAGAACTTTCTGCTCTATAGGACAGCCAAGGAAATATGGGAGGCTGCACGTGAAACGTATTCCAGCACTGAGAATTCCTCAGAGTTGTTTGAGATTGAGACCAGATTGTATGATCTACGACAGGGAGAATTGAGTGTTACTCAATATTTCAACACTCTCACACGCTTTTGGCTGCAATTGGACATGTACGAGATTTATTCTTGGAAATGTCCGGATGACTCTACCTTGCATAGGAAGATTGTTGAACAAAAAAGGACCATCAGATTTCTTCTTAGCCTCAATAAAGACCTAGACGAAGTCAGGGGGAGAATCATGGGGATTAAACCTCTCCCAACTATTCGGGAGGCTTTTGCAGAAGTTCGTAGAGAAGAGAGCAGAAAGAAACTGATGATGATAGACAACCACACTACGCCCGCTTCCGAAGGATCTGCCTTGTACACTCACAATTCCTCTCAGAGTAATAAGCCCAGGAAAGGACGTCCATGGTGTGACCATTGTAAGAAACTTGGTCATGTGAAGGAGACATGCTGGAAAATACATGGAAAACCTGCAGATTGGAAGCCATCTAGTGAACGATTTGACAAGGAAAACCGTGCAAATGTTGCGACCACAACAGGGAATAATGCAGAAGTCAGTCCATTCACCAAGGACCAACTTGAGGCACTGCAGAAAATGCTTGGTCATGTTCCCAGTTCCGGACAAGCACCACAAACATCACAATCCTCTGCCGAGCAACCTACCAGCCTTCTAGCACACCAAGGTATCCTATCCTATGCTCATATTGTCCAAAAGACAACACCAAAACCGTGGATAGTTGACTCGGGAGCCTCGGATCATATGATTGGAGACATTAACTGTTTTAGAAAGTACAATCCATGTACTAGTCACTCTGCAGTCCGAATAGCTGATGGTTCATTTTCACCAGTGGCAGGAACCGGATCAGTCCAATTAACAAAGGATCTTCACCTTTACCCTGTCCTTTATGTCCCTAAATTAGACTGCAATCTACTTTCAATCAACAAACTTACTCGTAACTTAAAATGTGTGACTAAATTCTATTCCAAGTTTTGTGATTTTCAGGCAGTGGATTCGGGGAAGGTGATTGGCAGTGCTGAGATGCGTGGTGGCCTATATTTGCTCAAAGAAAATAATCTCCTTGGTAGACAAGTTCACCCGTCAAGTTGTGTTTCTGAGTCTAGTTCAAATTCCGTCAATCTTGTTTCCAATTCTGTTTCAATTAAGAGTCAAGTCATGTTATAGCATTGTCGCCTTGATCATCCAAATTTTGGATACATTGAAAAGTTGTTTCCGCATTTGTTTATGAATAAAAATTCCAATTTTTACCAATGTGAAATTTGTCAGCTTGCAAAACATACTAGACATGTATATTCTAGTTTACAATACAAGCCTTCACATCCATTTTCTGTAATTCACAGTGATATTTGGGGACCCTCACGAGTAAAAAATATAAATGGGGCTCGATGGTTTGTGTCATTCATAGATGATCATACGAGAACAATTTGGACATTCCTTATGAAAGAAAAATCCGAAACAACCACCATCTTTCAATCCTTTCATTCCATGATCTCTACTCAATTTCAAAGCAACATTCAAGTTCTTAAAACAGATAATGCCAGGGAGTATTTCAATTCCATTCTTGGTCCTTATCTTTCCAAGCATGGTATCATTCATATAAGCTCGTGTTGATACTCCTCAACAAAATGAGGTTGCTGAAAGAAAGAATAGACATTTACTTGAGGTGGCCCGTGCTATTATGTTCTCTAATCATGTGCCTAAACACTTTTGGGGAGAAGCCATACTCACAGCCACATATCTCATCAATAGGATGCCTAGTCGAGTCCTAAAATTCCAAACTCCTCGTCATATTCTCATGGAAACCTATCCACATATCCGTTCCTTTTCTTCCGACTTACCATTGAAGGTTTTTGGTTGTTCTTCCTTCGTTCACATCCACCAACAACACTGGACCAAACTTGATCCCAGGTCTCTCAAATGTACCTTCCTTGGTTACTCCTCTAATAAAAAAGGATACAAGTGTTACTCACCAATCACTAGGAAAGTATACAACTCCATGGATGTCACCTTTTTTGAGAATCAACCTTACTTTCCCAAATCCGAAATTCAGGGGGAGAACTCGAGGGAATATTAGATTTGGGATCTTCTCCAAGACACTCAGGCCATTTTTCCTTCAACAATCCCGAACACTTCCACTCAACCGACCCTACTTGAAGAACCAAACTCTACCACTGAAATTCCAGCCACAATTGTTCCTACTCCACCTCAACTTGACACTAATAATCATGAACTTCGTGTCTATACCAGAAGGAGACGACCAACCGAGCATATAAAGGACACCATGCAGACCCGTGACTGTCAAGAACCAGAACCAAGTCCTCCTGCATCCGATAATCACAATGGTATGAATTTCGTAACTCATGACTCTATTGTGCCAGTGTTTGATGACTCTGATCAGCCAATTGCCCACAGGAAAGGTGTTCGAGGGTGCATTGGTCATCCAATCGAAAGATATGTAGCGTATGGGAAGTTGCTCCCACCTTACAGGGCTTTTGTGTCCAATCTTGATAGTGTGCAGATTCCTAACTCTATCCAAGAGGCTCTAAAGGTTCCAGCATGGAAACAAGCAGTTGAGGAAGAAATTCGGGCTCTAGAAAGGAATGACACATGGATCCTTACAGAATTACCTCATGGAAAAAATATGTAGGCTGCAAGTGGATATTCACGGTTAAGTACAAAGCAGATGGAAGTGTTGAAAGATTCAAAGCCAGACTTGTAGCAAAGGGCTTCACGCAGTCATATGGGATAGACTACCAGGAAACTTTTGCACTTGTTGCCAAGCTCAAGACGGTTCGAGTTCTACTCTCTCTTGCAGTGAATCAAGATTGGCCTCTGTACCAACTTGATGTTAAAAATGCATTCTTGAATGGGGACCTTAAAGAAGAAGTCTACATGACTATACCTCCGGGCTTGGAAAATAATTCAAACATCAGGTTTGTTTGTAAGTTGAAGAAATCCTTATATGGCTTGAAACAATCTCCTCGTGCTTGGTTTGACAGGTTTGCCAAAATTGTGATTACAAATGGATATCATCAGTGTCAAACTAATCATACACTGTTTGTTAAATCCAATTCTGGAGGCAAGATAACTATTCTCATAGTATATGTAGACGATATCATTTTGACAGGTGATGATTCAAAGGAAATTATTAGACTCAAAAAGATGCTTGCAACAGAATTTGAGATCAAGGATCTCGGGACTCTCAGATATTTTCTGGGAATGGAGGTGGCTCGGTCTAAGGAGGGAATTGTAATATCCCAAAGAAAGTACATCTTAGACTTGTTAAGTGAAACTGGCTTTCTTGGGTGTAAACCTACTGACACACCCATGGATCCCAACAAAAAGCCAAACAAAAGTGAAGAAAGTAATCCAATTGACAAGAGAAGATATCAAAGACTTGTGGGCAAACTAATCTACCTATCACACACAAGACCTGATATTGCCTACTCAGTCAGTGTAGTGAGCCAGCACATGAATAATCCAAGTGAGGATCATTTGGAAGCAATGAATAGAATTTTGAGATATTTAAAGATGACTCTTGGACACGGTTTGCTCTTCCAAAAATCGGAAAAACGTGAGGTTGAGATATACACAGATTCTAGCTGGGTAGGAGAATTAACTGATAGAAGGTCAAAGTCTGGTTACTGTTCATACGTCTGGGGAAATCTCGTCACATGGAGAAGTAAGAAACAAGCTGTTGTCTCTCGGAGTAGTGCAGAATCAAAATATCGTGCTCTTGCACTAGGAATATGTGAAGGAATGTGGCTTCAAAGGCTATTAAGGGAGCTCAAGGTTGAGATGAGGGACGTAGTTAAGATGTTTAGTGACAGTCAGGCAGCTATTAGCATCACTAAAAATCCCGTGCATCATGACAGAACAAAACACATCGAGATTAATCGACACTTCATCTCAGAGAAGGTCAACAATGGGATTGTGCAGCTAAGCTATGTTTCAACAAAACTTCAGATTGCTGATATTCTCACTAAGGCACTTCCAAGGGTCAGCTTTAATGAATTGAACTCCAAGCTTGGTTTGTATAATATATACAACCCAGCTTGAGGGAGAGTGTAGAAAGTAGCCGACCCTTGCATTTAGTTAGGAAGTTATTTATTTTCTTATAATAGATTTTAGTTTCTGTTTTCCTTATTTAAATTTTGTAGTTTCCGGTTTTTTCCTGATTTGGTGGAATTCCTGTTTTTCAGGGATTCTATTTCCCTTTCTCGGTGGACTGGTTTGTCAGCCACCCTAGCCTATATATTAGGTTGTATATCGTTGTTTATGAATAAGAATAATCGGAATTATTCCATTAATTTCTTCAATAACAAATAACAATTTGACAAAACTTGATGAAGATCTATCGGTTGGTGGCTGGCCAATGAAAAACCACATACCTGCAATGCTCCAGCAAAAGAAGCAGCAAGGAGCAAAGGAGCAACATAGCCAGTCGTGTAAGTCAACAGTAGGCTTCCCCCTATAACTGGATCCTGTAACAGAAGCATTTGTACTTGTCAACTGGCTAGAAACAAATGAGCGAGATATGCAAACAATACCACGTCATTAATGTACAAGTACGCAATTAGAGCAATTCATTGTGCGTTTGTTTTTCCTCTTTGTTAAGCTTGCTTCAAAGTACATCCAAGAGATGCATCACAATGCTCTTAATACAACAACAACAAGCCTTAATCCCAACTTAATTGGGGTTGGCTATATAAATTTCACTTTTTCACACGGCTCTGTTCGAAATTAAACTTTCCTGAAGGCCTAGATCACAATGCTCTTAATATGAAGGAAATATTTATTGAAGCAAAAAATGAAGGAAATATTTTCTCTTTATATACCTTGGACGTAGCTACATATCCTAACAGACTAGCAAGCACTGGTGTACTGCATGGCGAGGCAGCTAAAGCGAATGTAAGCCCAGCTAGATAAGCTTGCACGCCTTTCAAATTGTTTCATATTGGAAAGTTGTAAGATATGAGAAAACCATATTCATACAAACGAATAGATCTTCCAAAATTTGGATGACTGGATGAGAAGAAAAAAGGCCAATTACTTGATGGAAAATTAGCAGCCGCAGCACGAGCATCAAAATTGTCAAAGAAAGAAGGGAGTCGTAATTCAATTATCTGCAAAGTTGGTATGCAAGATCAATCAATCACAAAAAGAAGAGGTAGCAAAAGTTAGAAAGAGTTGAGCAAAACATTCCACCATGGCATGCCATAGCAGCATGAATTAATACCTCGAGGAGATTAAGACCCATAACAACAGCTAAACCTGAAGCAGCCAAAGGCAACCCTTGCCCAATCTGTCCATATGCCTTTCCAGCAAATGAGGCTGCTATGCCTAATATTGCTAGTGTAGTCGCCAATCCCAACGAGAATGCAACTGAATTACCAACAACCTGACTAGGAAACACATTAAAAGAAATCATAAAACAGACATGTTTGTGCATATAAGAGAGAGAGTGGATCATGTGGGTGGCTCATTAAAGGAGTAACCATGTCATCTAAATGGTGCTGAGAAACATAACATCAATGTTCAAACCTCGTATATATAAATATTTACCACATTTCAAGTATTCCTTAATCCTTATAATACAAAATGTTAGAGAGCCAATGCTTATCCATCATACTTCTTATTGTCATCTTAATCACCATACTTCTGACACAGTTTCACATATCACCACGTTCTTTTTTTTTTTTCTGATACAATGCTAGCTTATCCTAGGATTCAAGCCAAGGATCTCTCGCTTAAACCACCCCACCCTTACCAACTGGACTAGCACCAGTTGGCTACGTATCACCACGTTCCTAAGGTTATGTAAATACATCTTTAGCAACAAAAACAAGAAAAGGAACAATGAAATGGAAATAGCCATTTAGCAAATAATTACCTCTGCTCTGCTTTTCCCGGAGCCAAATGCTCCTATAAACAGTTTATAAATGAGCATTAGGAATGATGATATGCAAATACATCATACCCGAAAACAATTGCCAAAAAGGTTTAATATATAAAGTGCTTACCAATGTAACCAAGGGTCAGTGGTAAAACACTTAGAGTACAAGGAGAAAGGCTGGTCACGAGTCCTGCCCCGAAAATAACTGCCAAACTGAGGAAAAGAATATCAGAGCATAAATAAAATATTGACTTGGTAGTTCTCACTTTGGTGTTTACAAGTACACCCAGAAATTGAGAGACAGAGTGGTAACTGACCTACTGAAACTTACGGCAGATAACTGGTCCTGAACAGCTTCATTAGCCTGCTGTCCTGCTGAATAAAGGAAGCCCCCAAACCAATCCCCAAGACCACCATCAGACAAAGTATAAACTGAAGCAGCATTTTCCTGACTCACAAAACGAAATTTAGTTCCCGTATTATAGCTAGAAGAAGAATTTCCATGACAGAACTTTTGGGCAACAAAATTGAAAATTATTATATTTTCCAGATGAGCAACTATATGCGGCTGAAAATAGATCCGAAACAAAATTTCGCATACTTACTGCCTTTGCCACGTCCACTGCAACCAAATTTGCCACTGAAAAGATTATCGTAGCGGAAATCGATTAGAAGAAAGAACTTCGAAATGCCATGAGGCGCTCATAAATAAACTGGGGCTAAAAAATAAGACCAAAAGGAAAGAAGGATGAGCTATCCTCAAGACAAAACGAAACAGAGAAAAAGCACAAAAACACAAAAGAAAACTCTTCCCAGCCAAGGACAAAACAGACATATAAGACATTATCTTCCTATTACATCCATGCAGTTTAGAATTATCAAAGAATACGTGCAAAAGATGAAGACCCACTACCTGCCATGGCATTTACAAATGTGTAAAAGTTAAAGCTGCCACTTCCATCATTCTTTGACAATGGTGCAAGATCTTTACAAGGAGCCTCATCAGTGGAAAATCCCTTGAGCGATGCCATTGGCACCACATGCTTACCTTTAAAAAAAAAAAAAAAACCCAAATTGCAAGTAAATCTAATATGCTGAAGGTTCATTTTCTCTACTAGATGAAAGAATAAAACCAACAATAATAACTAAGCCAAAAAGAGGGAAAAAAAGGATGAAGCTTGGTATATAGAGCAATTGCAATTGGAAATCAATCCTTTGTCTCAATGAAACTCATCATTCCCACGAGATTTTTAGTAGGATAATCTAGAAACAAATAAAAATAACAATAACGAATCATATCAGATTAATAAAAATATTGGTAATTTAACAGAATTATGAAAATGTAAGGATTCTCCTAATAAAAGTCGTCGATTTTGCGCATGAATTTGAGTTTCAACATCTCCAAAAACAGACTCACTAGGGATGCTTCTGAGGCCACGCTTGAAGCTTGAAATGCCATAACTAGCGCAACAGTTAAGGACCAAACTCATCTTTACGCTTATTAACGAGAATTTTCAAAACCAGAAGATTCAAGCGCTAGGAAATAAGCAGGCAATCAAGTGAAATCTTTCAAATCCTAGTATGCTCCTTTTTCTCGTTAGACGTTCAACGAAACGAAGTTTCAAACTTTTACGCTCAATTTCTTTGTTTCTTTCTCTTTCTCAGCAGCCAAACAGCGGGTAATAGATTTTTTGTTTTTAATAAGAGAATCGCCGTCGAGAGAGAGAGAGAGAGAGAGAGTGAAAGAGTTCCGATTTGGAGTTTGCTTCACGGAACGAAACGGAGAGTTGGATAGTGACCAGTGAAATTGAAGTCAAATTTGTAGTTAAGACAGGCCAAGGTGAAGATATTTTCCATTCTTTATTATACATAAAAAAAAATCTACTGATTTTTGCCAATAACTAATATCTCGTTTATAATTATTATTTTTTGTTAACTTGGGATTTAAACTGTGAACTTTATTCTTTGGTAGAATGTGAATTCCATTTCGGAAAAAGAAAAAGAAAAAGGTAGAATGTGAATTATTGCTATTCTATACTACAGCTATAGCGAGTATCTCATTGATTAAACTCAAATTTTTTTTAAAAAAAAAATAGTTCTTAGATTACGACTAAAAAGATAAAAAAAAAAGTTCTAACTACTAAAACTTGCATAAAATTGTTCTTACAAATTTAAATGATTTAGATTGAAAAGAGACCAAAATTAGAGAGAAGAAAATCAAAATGAAAAACAAATGAAAGATTTTCTAAAACAATCATTTAGAAAAAAATATTTATTTTATAAATACTCATAAACTTTGTATCATGTTTCAACGTACCCTTAAATTTAAAAAAGGGTTCATTTCCTCCATTGAAGTATGAAAAGTGGTTCAAGGCACCCACTAAACTTATGTTATTTCATGAATGTCTCTGAACTATTGATTTTGAATCAATTTATGCCTTGATCCTTTCATTAGGGGGACAAATTGACACTAAAGTGATAATTTTAAGATCAAATTAACTTAAAATTAATAGTTTAAAAGACATTTATAAAAATATAAGTAGTGCCACACGATCTTATTAGTGCCGCATAATTCATGGAGCAAATTGAACTATTTTTAAAATTTAGAAACATCTTGAAATAAGGTACAAAGATCGAGGGCATTAATGTAATTAAACCTTAAAAAAATAGGGTTAAAAATCATTTGATAAAAACTAGTGTCCTTAAGAACATGTTAGTTGTAATAATGTATGAAAGCGGTTCCTTCCCGACCAAGATATTGGGCATGGTAATTATTTCCTCTCTCAACCATTAATTTTAATGGTCGGAAGGAAATCATAAAAATAATTTCATGGAGGATTAGGAAAAGGGACATCAAAATTTATACACGACAGTGACAACAAAAACGACAACAAAGTCAAAAAGGATGAACGGTGTTGTATATATACATACATATATAAATATATATATATATATATATATTTATTTGTGTTGTATATAGACGTCTGAAGACACAAACGACAGCAACTAAGAAGAAAGTATAAACGACAACGACAAGTATAATGAACTTCAGAATTAGAACAACAAAAGATTATAGAAACGACAAGGAAACTAGAACACGGATCAGAAGACGATAATCAGCACAATTGACAACACAATGACAAAGGATAACGACAAGTACAAAGCTAATAAATGTAGGCATAAACGACACGTAAGAGGATTAACAAAAATGACGAATGAAAGCCACAAGCATGTTAAAAATTGGCAAGAGTGTGAAAAATAGTCGCTTTAAGATGAAGTTACAACTCCAAAAAAACGCAACAAATGACAGTGGATAAAACTGAAATAATCGAATTGAAAAAGACATATGGAGAAACGCCAAGCACATGGAATAACAACACAAGTATTGACAAGTTAAAACAAAGAAAACAACAAACCTTGTACCATTGTCACTCGAACGCCAAAGAGTCTTTGTTGTACAAAAATCTCTAACTAGCTTTGGAATTCAATTACTAATCAATTTGAGAGTCCATGATAAGAAATATTCTACTTGATTGGCGAGGTGATATGAAAAATTCGGTATTAGTACATTCTTGAACAAATATTTGTCAAGTTCTACATCTGGCTCAGTACATTACAATCTGTTGGAATATTAGCTACCTTTAGTGGCTAAATACAGGAATGAACAAATAGGTTCTGTATTTGCAAACTGAAAAGTTTGAAAAGTCTTCATTTTCATTTCTTCTTTTATCCAAATTGCTTGGTAGAACCTCGAGGTCGCAACAGGAATGATCTGGATGGCCGCCTTTTGTAGAAACATCGCGTTTGTCCCTGTAACACAACACATGGCATTGAGCTGGTCATATGAAGCATTCTCAAAGAAACAGATTAATGCTGCGACGAATATGATTTTGTTTTCAAAAGCTTGTAATCTTTTGAAATGTTTAGAACATTCATTATTTAGTTTACTTGGACATACAAACACCCAATGAAGAATAAACCATCAACTGCAATATCCAGGACGTATCAAATCGATCTCAGGTATAAAAGCATATAAATCAGTACCTCTATGCGGTACTGTAACATTACGAGTATTTGTTGCAGGTGTTTTTGGCTCAAGGCAGCAGAAAGTAAAAAAAAAAAAAAGTATCAATCACAATCCAACTCTATGTATTAATTGCGTCAATGCGTCGAGGCATGAACAAGCATGATAAAGACAAAAATATCTCACAAAAATAGCTGTGCTTTGAATTTAACGGCCATATGCATAACGCATTCACCTCTGGAAGAAAGCATGGCATAAATTTTCTGGACTGCCCAAGTAATCTGATGAAGTCGGAAAGCAGATGAAGTCGGAATGCTTTCTTATCAACCTGAGATCAGAAAACTGGAGAGGGAAGAATTTTCAGATACGTGTCCTCATCAAAAAATATGCTGCAGAGAGTGCTTACCACAAGTCAATCCAAGTTTGGGGAAAACAAAAAGCATAGAAAATCCCAACAGCTTAGACCAAAACTGACATTATTGGTATCTATAATGCATATGTTGACATTTATGTAAATAAGCACTTCTGTGTGTACGAATCCAGACAAATGTAGCTTTGTCCATATGATACATACATATATCCAAGAAAAGTTATGGTGTAAAACAGGAGAAATCATCCTCGAAGATTTGAATAGTACTAGCTAAATTCCGAGGGTATAACCTATCCAACACAGCTTATGCATGACATGGTTGGTGCATGACTCCAAAATTTCTTAACATAGTCGCTCCGTTAATAATTCAGCAAAATCCATGTAAAACAATGTCTTCCTATAAAACTAATGTCATCCTTACCTCAAAAGAGCACAACTTCATGCTCCTTTGAGCTCGCAGGCCTTGATGCACACTGCAAATGTATAAAAGATAAAGTCACATCTATTTATGTGATTACCGTTTTGATACTAACAAAGCCATACTTATAAGATGGTAATTTAAGACCAAAACATTAAGTCATTCTGATAAGATTGTAGTAACTGAGAAAAAAGATGTGAATCATACTTGTAGATGGAAAAGAAATTTCTTTCATTCTTCAAACATTATATATTGAAGAACAGCATAATCTACAGAGTGACTGGATAAAGTAGGGTGCTAACTCAGAGTTATATACTCATGAAATCCCAAAGTCAACTTAAGGAATTTTTGTTTTTTGCTTTTTTTGTTGTTGTGGTTGTTGGTTTTTTTTATCTTTTTTTTTTTTTGAATTATGCTGACTTACAGGAACACTTGATTTTATGTTTCCCTTTATTTCATAGGAAACCTATTTACACCATGCATAAAAGCAGATCAGAACATACAAAAATGGTATTCATGAACATCAATTCAACAATATTTAAAGTGATGAATACTTTAGTAAGAGACATGAACAATCATAATGTTTTGCACAACAAATACATACATGCCTGAACAAAGATACCAAATGTCACAATTCTTCTATGTATTTCAAGAACTAACCATTCACGACTACAAGATTAACAACTGGAATCACTCTTCAGAAAACTTTAAATTTCATTCTTGTTTGCATGTACTTTTTTCAAGCTGTCATATCATTGAGCTGCAATTTATTAGTCATGTCAGCAAATCAGGATTGTGAAGTTAGGATTTGATTTTTGAATAAATTAGGAACGAATCAAAGATTAGAATAAAATCCCTGATTATGTGGGATCCTAGGGTTTTACCGTGGATTCTCTATTTCTATTTAAATGTGTTCTATTTTCTGGAATAATAAGAAAAAACAGAGAGCTATTCTCTCTTTCTGTCCCCGGTATTCTCCTATATGGTATCAGAGCCTAGGGCTCGATTATGAATTTTAAAGCCGCCATGGTTGGTTCTAGTTCAGCCACTTCGGATGCCACCAGTGGTATGGCTTCATCGGGGACAACTTCAGTCAAATCCGATAGTTTCCTTCTCTGAAAATTCCCTTCAAATTACCGTTCACAAATTGAATAGAAAGAATTACCTTGAGTGGTCTCAATCCGTGCGACTAGTGATCGATGGCAAAGGGAAATATGGGCATTTGAATGGAGAAGTAAAACCTCCAGCCACCAGTGATCCAAAATACAGGCAATGGCGCTCAGAAAACTCCATGGTGACTGCCTGGTTGATCAACTCGATGGATCCTGTTGTTGGAAAGCCCTTCATGTTCTTGCCCACAACCCGTGACGTTTGGGAGGCAGTCCGGGAAACGTATTCCGATCTGGACAACCACTCACAATTGTTCGAGTTGAACACTCGGATGTGGAAGATGCAGCAAGGTGACCGTGAGGTAACGACCTACTATAATGATATGATGACAGTATGGCAGGAATTGGATATGTTCGAAGATGAACAATGGGAAAACTCTAATGACAGTGCTCGGTACAAAAAGAAGGTTGAGAGAGGCCGGGTATTTGTGTTCTTGGCTGGTTTGAATAAAGATCTTGATGAGGTTCGAGGACGTATATTAGGAAAAAAAACCCCTGCCAACAATAAGAGAGGTATTTGCAGAGGTACGAAGAGAGGAAGCACGGCGACATGTGATGTTGAAAAACATTGATGAACCAAAGATAGTTGGTGAGGGATCTGCCCTTGTAATCCGAGGCACAGAGTCAGAAGGAGATAGGCGTGGAGGTAAACAGAGGCCCTGGTGTGACCATTGCAGGAAAGCATGGCATACTCGGGAAAACTGTTGGAAACTACACGGGAAACCAGCAAACCTGAAGAACAGACCCGGCAATGACACCAGGTCAGGGGGAGAGCTCCGCGCATTCCAGGCAAGCCGCACGGATCCAGAGCAAGAATCTCCATCAGCATCCCTTCCTTTTACAAAGGAACAGATAGAGCACCTACAAAAAATGTTTCAGTCCCAATCTTTAGGAAACTCTAACTCCTCTTGTTCTCTAGCACAGTCAGGTAATTTTTTCACTGCAACCGCTGCCTGTACCAAATCAGATGGCTCCTGGATATTAGATTCAGGTGCTACCGATCATATGACCGGCAATTCGCAATTTTTCTCTTCATATACACCCTGTGCAGGGAATCAAAGAGTTAAAATTGCAGATGGCTCCTTTGCTACGGTTGCTGGGAAAGGAATAGTTATCATTTCCCCTTCTCTAATTCTAAAAAATGTCCTGCATGTTCCTCATTTGTCCTACAACCTCTTGTCTATCAGTAAGTTGACACATGATCATAACTGCAAAGTTAATTTTTGGTCTTCTCGTTGTGAATTTCAGGATTTAACCTCGGGGAAGATGATTGGGGGTGCTAGATTGGATAGTGGTCTCTACCTCTTCAATAATGGATCAACCTTTGGAAGACAAGATCAATAGGCCTGTTTCAATTATATTTCTGTTTCTAGTGACGGTAAGATTATGTTATGGCATTATCGATTAGGACATCCAAGTTTCAATATTTAAAGCATTTGTTACCCAAGTTATTCATGAATAAAAATCCTTCTACGTTTCGATGTGAATCTTGTGAATTAGCAAAGCATCATTGTGCCGTTTTTCCATCACAACCATATAAAAAATCGAAACCATTTACCATGATTCATAGTGATATTTGGGGTCCTTCTCGAGTGTCAACTTTTTCTGGAAAACGCTGGTTTATTACTTTCATTGATGACCATACTAGAGTCACTTGGGTCTTCCTTTTAAAAGAAAAATCCAATGATGAAACAGTGTTTAAAAATTTTCATAATATGGTTCAAACACAATTTCAAACTCAGATTAAAATTTTCCGAAGTGATAACGGCAAAGAATTTTTTAATAATGTGTTGGGGAATTTTTTTGCTGAAAAAGGGATTGTACATCAAAGTTCTTGTACCAATACACCTCAACAAAACGGGGTGGCTGAGAGAAAAAACAGAGATCTTCTTGAAGTTGTTAGAGCTATAAGTTTTAAAGCTAAAGCTCCTAAGTACCTTTGGGGAGAAGCAGTTTTAACAGCCACATATCTTATCAATAGGTTGCCTACAAGAATTTTGAACTTTAAAACACCAATGAAATTCTTCAATAAATGCTTTCCAGCCACTCGGCTAATAACAGATATTCCCTTAAGAATTTTTGGAAGTGTAGCTTTTGTCCATAATCATGATCCTAGACGTTCTAAGCTTGATCCAAAAGCACAAAAGTGCATTTTCGTAGGTTATCCTACAAATCAGAAAGGGTATAAATGTTTTGATCCCGTTTCCAAAAAAATGTTTGTTTCTATGGATGTCACGTTCTTTGAGGGACAGCCCTACTACAACAATTCCCATCTTCAGGGGGAGAGTTCGAGTGAAG